CCCCCCGATTTGCATTATATTCATTGGGTGTGATTCACGAATAATCTTGCATTCAACATCTTAAATGGTGTGGTAAGTACGGATCATGTCACAAAAAAAATGAGGAACGGCTTCGACAACATTCAGTGCACTGAATAATTCATGGCAAAAAAATCTAGGATTTGAAGGATTCTATGCCAGAGGTCATTTAAGGCGCACTGACTCAAGAGAGAGATCACCAGGGTTGAAGGGTCAGCACTCAACGACAGAAGAGTCCCTCTTACTTTAGAGAGGGAATATCACTTGAAGTGCTTTGATAGTGTTGGGTTGACATAGATCAATCAGCATTAGTTCGAGCATACAGTGGCACCTTGTTATCCCGAGAATGAATTATTGTGGAAAATTTATGAGTTCGGGTCTCTAGAGCGATTCAAGGTCTCATAATTGAATTCCTATAAGGGGTAAACAAATCTGGTTGACCACATAGTCTCGTTTGATTTGACCGCGTGTGTATGCTAAGAATCACTTATACACTAAATTGATGTTTTTTATTTACCACGTTGAGTGAGTCGGCCATCAAGTAGTTCAATGAATTATAACTAAAAGTATTTATTAAGTCTCAACCCATAACTGACTTCCTCACCGATTTTTTCAAGCTAAGCGAACTCAACAAAGAAGTGATGACCGACAACCATGCTTAGGTCCTACACATTGATGAAACTTCTTGTCAAACTAGGGCAAGGCACAGTTTCACTCTAAAAAATCTAACTAGAGATTATATGTACCATTTAATGGAAGTGTGATTTTGTCACCAACAATCAAGCCACGTACGAAGCTTTAATTTCTAGGTTATGGATCACTTATGAGATTGTCATGCGACACCTTCAGGTAAAACTTGACTTACAATTGGTGGTTAATCATGTAAACACACAATTCAAAGATAGACACAAGTAGATGACCTAATACCTCAACAAAGCCAAGGTAGAGATCGAAAAATTTTAAGTTTCAAGATTGAACACTCTTCCAAGCAGTACAATGATGCTTGGAGCATGGTTCATTCGATCATAAACGAGACAAAAAGCATCTGATCCAACCACTACAAGTAAGCTGACCCGATGCCATAACCTACCTTCATGTTGAGTCGATCCATGGGAAGATCCAGTTCTACAATATCTCCAACTATCCCATAGGCACTCACATGCTCCTCACTAAGGATCAAAGATTGGAAACTAGGCTAGATTAGCATATCAATCCATAAGCTAGAAGTAATTGGATGAAAAGCCTGTAAATGTAAAAAGAACATAAGTGCTCTAGTATGGACCCCTTCCAAGCAGAGGGAAAAAAAATTATCACTATATCATCGCCTCTATAAATATTTTATGAATAAGGGAGGATCAATTACTGTTCATTTATCCCTCTTTCTATCTCTTTATTTCTCTCTCTCTCTCTCTCTCTCTCTCTCTCTCTCTCCTTACTACACTCTATTCCTTGATAGTGATTCATGAACAATCTTGCATTCAATATTAATATTTATGTCATATCATTATTTAAGTACTCGTATCACTATTATAGTGAATAGCTTGAGTATGTTTATACTTCAATAAAAACATAAATATCCTAATATTTTATAAAAAAAAAGTTGCACACTAAATTTTTGAAACCCAATTCAAAAAGGGATCTACTTAGCCATTAATTTTGGTTTGGTGCCATGCAGTTCTTGAGCACAAGCCTCACAAAACTGAGGTGATATTACCTCTTGTGGACGTATGTGAACAAGTGTCCCAATTACCCAAAACAAGTTTAAGTTTTATGCAAATATTTTATGAGAATACTTTTTGAGAGTATTGGATTACTAAGTAAGAGTATTGTCTCTGAAAAAAAAAAAAAAAGATAAAAATAAACATACACAAGATTTACTAATTAAATTTTAATAAAAATTTTTTATTCTATTTTTCTACATTATCTTGTAATTACAATGATTTCAATTCAATAGTTTCCTTCTTAAATAATTTAATATTTTGAAAATGGCCAATAGTATTAATATATTTTCATTTACTCTTAGCTCTCTAACATACATAGCTATATATATATATATGTATGTATGTATGTATGTATGTATGTATGTATGTATGTATGTATGTATGTATGTATGTATGTATGTATGTATGTATGTATGTATGTATGTATGTATGTATGTATGTATGTATGTATGTATGTATATATATTAAAAAATTTAAGTCAAATTCAGCTATTTTACATATACACCGACTCTCCATTTTCGTAACTCTTCTATGCTACAGAGTTTCTTCTGTTCCACCATAACCAAGACGCTAAGCATACAAACACCACCCAAATTGACACACAAATCACCGAAGATAATGGCGATATTTACCTCCCTCTCTTTCGCGTCGCCGTCACCGGCGACCGAACCGACTCGCCGGAGCACCCAACCTCATTGGGAAAATTCAGAATCGCTTTACTCCCCCTCATTTCAAACGCCGCCCGATCATACGCCTGCGCAGCCTCCACCGCCGTATCAAATGTCCCGAGCCAAACCCTAGATTTTGCCCTCGTGGGATCCCTTATCTCAGCCGCAAACTTCCCCCATCTCCGCTGCCGCACGCCGCGATACTGCCGACCGCAGAAGATAGACGCTGCCGGCCTCCGCGATGGCCGTGAGGTTGAATCCGGGTCGATTTGGATGATGGAAGATTTTGCTGGAACAGGGTATGGTATTAATCCTCCGTGGGAATTGGGGCAACCGGGAGGTAGTGATAGGGTTTCAACGTGGTCGAGGTAATCGGAGACGTCGAGATTAGTGAGAGGAAGATTGGGGGAAGGAGGTGGAGTTGGGAGGGCAGCGAGGAGTTCGTCTAGGGAGGAAGCAGAGGGATCGTCGAAGAGGTGCTCGCGGCAGAGTTCCATGGCGGATATGCATGCGAAATCCATGGGCGCCGTAGTTGTCCAGGGAATGAATATTGATGCAAGTATATATATAGGAAGGGATTCAGTATGAGGTTATTGGCGTCATCTGCGTGTCAAAGGGTTGAAAAATCGCAGGGTGTCGTCGCTGCAAGTCCTTTCTACTGCCGCCAATTCGTTCGAAGAAATGTCCAAGAGAGATTTTTATAATTTTTCAACGTTATGGATAGTTTAAAAATTAATTTTTTGTGTTCTTTTAAAAAAAAGAAAAAAATATTAAATTTAGCCTTTTAACACAATTAATTTGTAAAATTTATATATTTTCTGCTGGTATTGCTGAAGTATTTATTGGACTTAGGATGGAATTGATCATTTAAAAGGGCATTTACATATACACTACACAATTCTTATGAATATATATATATATTTTAATTTTTACATTTATTACACTAAAAATAAAATTACGAATTTGATGATTAAAATTAAATGTATAGGGGCTTATAAGACTCATATTTTTGTGCATCTCCCTTTATGATTATTAGTTTAACGGGATAAGAAAATCATGAGCTAACTAGAATGTAGGATATTATAAATGTGAGACAATATTTTATTATATAGAGACATAATTTGCTTATTTAAAAATATATTAAAATTATTTTACTATAAATTAATAATTTGAATTATA